TATATTTAAAAATAAAAATATTATCTCATATATGATTCAATTTTTATTATATTTTTATTTTATTATTTACAGTTTTTACTTTTTGCAGTAATACTTGAATATAGGCTTGAACTTATACTAGTACAGGAGTGCAACCGCTTTTAGCTAAGCAAGATGGATTCTGTGCATTGAAAACTCCTGTGTTGTAGAACATTTTTTAATTCTAATGAACTCTTACAAGTATTAAAAAGAATAGACCAGCTTTTGCTTGCCAGTGATTTATTTCAGACTCATGCTCTTCCAGATCGGCCAGGCCTGGTGAACGTCCCGCACATCGAGCGAATGCAGGAGAGCATCGTAAACGTGCTTCATCTGCACCTCAAGAGCAACCATCCAGACAACTGTTTCCTCTTCCCTAAAGTCCTCCAGAAACTAGTGGACCTGCGGCAGCTGGTGACGGAGCACGCGCAGTTAGTGCAGGAAATCAAGAAGACAGAAGACACTTCGCTGCATCCCTTACTGCAGGAGATTTACAGAGACATGTACTGAGTCGGCTTTGGCTCATTCGTCTGGTTGATTTCTAGAAAAAGCCGTTTCTCTCAGGGGCCCTCAAAACAAGTCCCTTCCACAGCTACACTGTGATCTTTAATAAGGGGCATCATGTGAACCACTATTTCCGTGATTTCTGGATGAAAACGGCAAGAACATCAGGCCTCTTCAATACCGCTGAGTTAAACAATGGTTTCTGCCCTTAGTGGTTTAAAGAGAAAAACAAGACAATGCCAATTAAAATGCATCCTGTGGGTTTAGGATCTTTTTTTGGGGATATTTTATAAACTCTTACTGGTCTCTTGGGCCTGAAACTGTGAATAGAAACCCTAAAATCCAACGTAATCATACAGCAATATGATTTTTTTATATTGACACGGTAACTTTTGATAGTGTGCGCTTTAAACCCGCAGTTTTCACCCAAGTGACTTCCACATAGACCTGCCGTAACCAGTGAAACTGACCGTTTTGTACCGCTACAGGGATTTTTGCTTCATGGTTAACATTGTCGTGAACCCAGAATTAATATTTTTGATCATGCTAACCTGGGAAATCAAAAATATGACACAGAATTATCAATCTCAGACATTTTCCAGCCAACATTAGCAAATATTTTTCAGTCAAATCGAAATTATTTTTCACAATATTACAGTCTCAGTCCGTAACTGCAGCTTTCGAGTTATAAAATGCAGTGCTCAAATACAAAGCAGATCAATAGCTCATGACCTATGCCTTCTGACAGAGCACAAGCGCTCCAGATTGTGCAGTTTTACAGTAATCTACTGTTTAAAGGGCTAAAAGAGCACGACAAATGAGGTCTGTTACAGCATTTATACTGCAAGCGTGGCACTGCACAAAAAATGGAGTGAAAATGCACTATTGCATTAATATTTGAGCGAACCACACTCTTATTGTTTGAACACAGGTGTCTGTCGGGCTTGATGCACATTAAACATGCAGTGACGCAATAGATCGTACTGAATCCAGGTGATTTAAGCAGTTTGAGCATCATTCTTTCTCATATAAATGTGGTTTAATGACAGTAACAGTTCTCAAAGAGCCCATACACGGCCGTTGTTAAAGAGAGCATCAACGCAGTAACCCAGAAATCACTGCACAGAGTTGCATTTGCACTGCAGCTGCTCACATGCTGCAGATGCAAAGCCTAGCTTGCTTTAATTTGTCTGTCTCTCCAATAGTCATTCTTGTCAGAGCCGCAGTGCCTAGTCTCGACGTCACACGTCTCATTGTTCCCTATGTAAACCAGAAACAGAAGCTAATTGTATCAAATATGTCTGTGTTATACCAGCTTTTGTAAATGTGAACTCTGTGTGCAGTAATCTACATTAAAATGTTATTTTGCGTAAGGGGCCGTTCACACAGAATGCATTGTTTGCGTTGTTTTTCTGTGTAAACATGCGTTAGACAGACGCTTGACCATTGCGCTCGCGTGTTTTACGGCGACTCTCGCATGAGATTGCACTCAAGTTAAAACGAGTTAAAATTTTTAAAACGTGTTTTGAGACCTTTCGTTTTTTTTTCCATTCTGCCGTCGTGTCGTGCAAGAGTTTAATAGTACAAAAAGTGGCGTTTAATGGATTAGATTGCGTAAGATTAATTTTGAGAGCCATTCTAAAATCAAACTACAAACTGGATTCCCAGAAATATTATGGAGCCCCTAAAGGAACACGGTGATGCTAAATAACGTAGCACAGGATAAAAAAAAAAAATGTGTTCCTTTCATGGGAACTTCGAACTGCGTCCTCTAGGTTTCCCCATAGCGACCCCTAGAGGACGCAGTGTCTTGTTCCCTTGGAACCATGGTTACATAAGTAACCTGAGACGTTTGTTTATTAATTGTTAATTCGAGAAATTTTGAGTTTGATCACAAAACTTTTGCGTTCCTCCGAGAAACTCACAAAACATTTTTGTTCGCTCGTTAAAGTATTGCGTTCCCCCCAAAAACTTCGCTAAAGTATTGTTTTCGCTCGCAAAACATTGCAAAGTGGAAAGCAAATGTTTTACGAGTGAACGAACATTTTTGAGAGCGAATGCAATACTTTTGCGAGAGAATGCAAATGTTTTGCGGGTGAACACCAAGTCTCTTGGGGCAATAGAGGACGCAGTGTCTCGTTCCCTACTCAGGGAACCATGGTTACATAAGTAACCTGAGACGTTTGTTTATTAATTGTTAATTCGAGAAATTTTGAGTTTGATCACAAAACTTTTGCGTTCCTCCGAGAAACTCACAAAACATTTTTGTTCGCTCGTTAAAGTATTGCGTTCCCCCCAAAAACTTCGCTAAAGTATTGTTTTCGCTCGCAAAACATTGCAAAGTGGAAAGCAAATGTTTTACGAGTGAACGAACATTTTTGAGAGCGAATGCAATACTTTTGCGAGAGAATGCAAATGTTTTGCGGGTGAACACCAAGTCTCTTGGGGCAACGCAATATTTTTGCGAGTGAACACAAAGTTTTATTGGGGGAACACAATACTTCTGCAAATGAACGCACATGTTTTACAAGCAAACGCAAAGTTCCTCAGGGGAATGCAGTACTTTTGCGAGAGAAGAGAGAGAGTGTCTGCAAAGTTTTTCAGAGGCCTTAATATTTTTGTGAGAAAACCCCCAAAAAAAACTTTGCGATCACTCTTAAAAATTTTGCATTGACCCGAAAATCTTTGCATTTGCTCGCAAAACATTTGCGCTCGCTTGTTAAAGTATTGCGTTCCACCAAGAAACTTTGCGTTCCTTCACGAAACGTTTTTGTCAATACTTTTGCGAGAGAATGCAAAGTTTTTTGGGGGAACACAATACTTCTGCGAATGAACGCAAATGTTTTGCGAGCAAACGCAAAGTTTCTCAGGGGAATGCAATACTTTTGCGAGAGAAGGCAAAAAAAAACATTTTTCATCCCATCTCATTTTTTCCCATTACCATGTTCCCTTAGGAGCTCCGTGAAACAACACCTTCAGTTGATTTCTTGTTAATGTGAATGTTGAGCCCGGTCTCATGAAAATGCATATAAATAGTACGCCAAATAAAAACTAAAACTCGTGGTATTGATACGCAAAAATGGACTTTGGCGTGCATATGATACGCATGTGTTTGGCGTGCATATAATACCCAGTTTTCGCGTGCATATGATATGAAATTTGTTGGAGTGCATATGATACGAAATTTGTTGGCGTTCATATGATACGCATCTACCCCACAACCCTAAACCTACCCATCGCGTAGCATATACACGCCAAAGTCCATATATATATAGCAGATGTTGTGAAATGAAAGAGTTTTATGCAGTGCAATGTAAATATGGGGGAAGATTTGTCATCGAACAACATTTGCATGGGAATTCATGTCATATTTTCCACATTCCTTTTTAATTAAGCGTGAGGACCTGTGCATTTCCACACTAAACGGAAAGATTAATGGAGCGCCTGATTATCCTGAAGATTTCATTACGAGTTTTACTAATGGTGAATCGTCCATTTGGACTCCATCCTGATTGTTTTCTCTTGACTCATATGACATAAGTGATCATTTTTATGGAAGCTTGTTTCTGTCACGGGATAAAAAAAATAAAAAGGGTAACCGAGACAATTCTGAAAGAATTAGCTACACGCCAAAGTCCATTTTTGCTTATCAATACCACGAGTTTAAGTTTTTATTTGGCGTACTATTTATACGCACTTTCATGAGATCGGGTTGGAACGTTTAGTTTTTCCATGTCACCAGCTTTACCGTTCTGAAGTTGTGAACAATTACTAGAAATAACTTATTATTGTCTATTTTCACGTCAAAAAACTACTTTTTGCATGAGAAAACTCTGTGTAATGATTCACAGTAAGTACTTGGAAAACCCTTCTTGGATTGCGACCTTGTAAAGCAGGCGATTCGTTTTAAAAATGCGCTCACACAGACGGAGAGTAAACTGCTGGAGGTCTTGGTTGCTGTTCATTCCACAGCATGTCGCTTCTCATTTGCATAAAGTTAAAAGCTGACCAAAAAATGACATCTCTTATTAAAAACGAATAACTTCCGGTCGTGTTGTGCTGCAAATCGCCTTCAACCTGAACGTCCTGTGTCACATTTAAACAATGTATCCAGCTGTATCCGTGAAAAGAGATGCATTTAGACTGTAAAGTTATGCTTGTAATAGAAACGCTGAAGCTTTGCAACCCTGTAAATAGCGGACACTTAATCGAGGCATCGTCTTTTTGATAAATGCTTTTAACAGCTAAGACATTGTGTGCATCTACGTATTATGCACTATCGAGATTATGATTGAAATTTAGTCTTTTTCTACTAAAGCAAAGGTATCTTTTTTTACTAATGGTGAATCGTCCATTTGGACTCCATCCTGATTGTTTTCTCTTGACTCATATGACATAAGTGATCATTTTTATGGAAGCTTGTTTCTGTCACGGGATAAAAAAAATAAAAAGGGTAACCGAGACAATTCTGAAAGAATTAGCTAGTGCACTTTTTTATTGCATTTTCCCCCCCTATTACATATTTTAGTAATCATCCTAAATTAAAAAAAATATATATATAATTCGAAAGCTTAAACACTCAAAATTAATCCTGTGAAAACAATCAGAAATTGCATTCACATGGAAATAGTACCTTAAGTCCTTTTAGCGGGCTCCTCCCCCTAGTGGGCAAAAGTTACTACAGTATTTTATAATCAAAGCTTTTTCTAATCTTGACCAAACACATTGTTGAAAAGAGTATCAAGGTTCCATATTTGGTGGTTATTTTGTGATGTCACTAATTTATGAATTTGTGAGAGGAAAATGCATCAAAGTGAGGTGTTTGTGTGTCACCCAGTGGCTGTTTTTGGTATGGCGCCTAAATAAAATCTCACAGGAACCTTAACTTTGTGATATCAACTTCAAATTTGGAACATACAGTAACTTAGACATATGGCTTTGATTTTATAGCAATTTTAGATTCCAAAATATTGGTAAAATATTTTTTTTTATCATTTTTATTTTTTTGTACAGCCCATGATCTTTACAGTAAACATTTTTTGAGACCAACCTTCGGTCTGTATTCCAAAGCCAGGGGCTTGACAGTTAAAAGGAGAAAAAGTTAAAATTCTGAGAAAAAAGCTGCAAACCCAGAATTCAGAGAAAAAAAGTAAAAAGAATTCTGAGAGAGAAAAAGTCAGAATTGCGAGATACAAATTCAGAATTCTGAGGAAAAAAAGGCAGAAATTGTGAGAATATAAATTCAGAATTCTAAGAAAAAGTCCGAATTGCGAATATAAACTCAGAATTCAAGGAAAAAAAGTAAAAATTGACGCAGTCAAAAAGTCAAAATTGCAAGATATAAACTCAGAATTCTGAGGCAAACAGTAAATATATGTAAACAGAAAAGAAAGTAAGAATTATGTTAGGCAAACTCGCAAAACTGAGAAAAAAGTCCAAATTGCAGGATTAAAAAGTCATAATTATCTTTTTATAATTGTTTTTTTTTAATTCTGTGGTGGAAACTTTTTTATTTTTACCATAAATCAGGATGTTGGACCAGTCTGATCCATGTCGACCAATCAAGTTCGGATCATTTTTTGAAGGCCGTCTCCTCTCGGGGTGTTTGGGATCCTCACCTGCTGTATACTGTACTGTGCTCCGTCAGGTCTCAGGTCAAGAATGGAGGTACTGATGATATCGATCATCAACAGCTGCCTGTGACCCGAGTCAAGCCAAATGGTTTGTAAATCCAGCTAGATTTTCTCTGTCACTTTAAGAAATTAGTAAATACATTTGCATGTTGCATTTTTACATTCTTGTTTTGTGTTTTCAACTATTAGTTCACATGCTTGCATTTATGTGGTTTGACGTGTAAATGTGTCGTATCAGAATGTACCGAATTCATCCTCTGCCTTGTTGACTTGTTAGTAGCTTACTACGTACTCAATACTATTTGAGTCACACTGGAAATGCTGTGTGCTGTTGTATATTGCAAATGTAGTGTTCGTATGCGTACTATTTCTGCAGTATACAGTAAGTAGCATGCTATTCTGATTTGTCTCTTCAGGTGCCTTAGATCCAGATTGCAAGAAACTGTATGAAGTGTTATGGCATCAATGAATGAAACTCGCTTTAGAGCAGAAATCTGTGATGTTTCAAATCAAATCAAGTATTATTGTAATCCTCCGTCAAGTTCACAATGCTTTTTTTTTGTGTCCTGTAATATTTGTTGATTGAGCAAATGTATGCATAAAGTATTGAGTTTGTTTGATCTTTTTTATCAGATTAAAATGAAATATTTGATTGTCAGCAGCTTTGCTTTTCTAACTAGTGTTTGGTGTTTTTATATAGAAGGGATTTGAATCAGGGAATTGTCTCAGTCTTCCTTTAATAAATGCTTGATTTTAAGCTGGTTGATACAGATCTGTGACTTTATGCAAGCTGATTATTAATATACTGCCGCAAAAAGGCCTCAGTGGTGGTGTTTTTGCTGTACTTGGGCAAGACAAAGGTTTGACAAATGTAGTCCTGTCTCAAAATAAAAGACATCTTTGTAAAATTCAAATGTGGAAATGTGTGTCTTTAATATACAAAGTTCAAGTAATAAAAAGTAAGATACTAGTTCACCTTCAGCTGCTGTTTCACAAAAGTAAACTCTTTGGTGTACAGTCAGAAATATGCATATATTGTATATTTTTATGACTTTATAGTCACAATTCTTTCTTAATTGATCATGCTATTTAGAATCTATTTAATAATCTAAAAGATGTGTTTACTAAAATGTTTTATGATTTTAAAACATTTAACTAGTTTATTGCCTTTTTCTGTATTAATAATTAAATAAAGTATTCAGCACAGATAGAAGTTGTTTGTTATTACAAAAAGTATTTTTAAAATAATTTGAAATGCATTGCTAGCTCAATTTTTTATATATATATATATATAAATCCATAGAACTAATATATATATATATATATAAATGATTGCGCTTGTTTTGTGAATGAACATCACCATAAAGACAAAAAATGTCCTGTGATTTGAGTTCAGTTCAATGAAGGATTCAGCTTTTTGGGCCACCAAAAACACAATTATTATTATTATTGTTTTTGTTGTTGTATTTAGTTAGTACAGTCAAATACAGTGCAAAAAGAACAAGTCAAATATAAGGCATTGTTGTACAGTTCACAATATGTGAAATAAAGAATAAGAACAACAACAAAAATACAAACTGAACATATATGTAAAAGAAAAAAGTACATTAAATTAAATAAGAAAATAAAAAAAAATACTATATAATATTTGGGCAGTTACATACATTGCATACATTTTTGTTTTGTGTTCTCATGTTTAAATTTTTTTTTTTTAGTTATTCTTGTCTTAATATTATTTAGTATAAGCCAAAATAATTTAAGGATTAATGACCATTTTGTTTTTTTAGAAAAAAAAAATGGAAATTAAGATTATTATTCTGCAACATTGTTTCTCAAAACCAAACTTTATTTGTATTTTGCACACAAGAATGTAAAAAAAATATGTAAGACAATAAGACAAATAGCCTACATTATGAATACAAGAAAGGTTAACAATGATAATTGCCAATGAAAAATATCTATAAAATATATTACATAGATCATGTAACTTAATTTTCATAAATTAATAGTAGTTTTTATAATTTAGGGTTCAGCTTTTATCTTTAGGCTTGTGCTCTTGCACGTTTGTGAACGTAAATTGGTAGAAACCTATTTTTATTTCTACACTCCCACATCTGCCGTTCCAACATGGCTGCGTCCGTTGCGCGATCATGCTGTCGAGTTCATTCACGTGTCGTATTCAGAAAAACATCTTATTTAAAAGCTTCACTCCACTGTTCTCCATCTAGAAGAAGCGGGCTGCTCTCCTCCCTTTATAACCGAGGCCTCCTGAAGGAGTCGTTCCCTGAGCACGCGGCTCAAGCGGAACTCCCGGATCTACTCCGCTCCGGTCCGCAGACAGTCTACTGCGGCTTCGACCCGACCGCGGACAGCCTACACGCCGGGAACCTGCTCGCCGTCGTCGGCCTGCTGCACTTCAGAGCCGCGGGGCACGACATCATCATGATATCACGCTTTTACCACGTTCTTACTATATAAACACCACTCCAGTACCATGATAGCACACGTACATCACGCCTATTTTACATCTGCAAGAGTGTTTGTTCATCTGCAGTGCATACATACAGCAGGTTTCCTATCAGATGTCAAACAGACGTTTAGAAGACGTCTGTAAGATGTAAAACTGACATCTATCAGATGTACACAGCAGACCCAGACAGCACAGATACGTCTGCAAGATGTCTGTTAAAGATCTCTTCATCTGGAAAGCATCTGCCGTGTACAAACATCTGATAGATGTCAGTTTTACATCTTACAGACGTCTTCTAAACGTCTATTTGACATCTGGTAGGAAACGTCCCGTAGACGTATTGCAGATGAGCAAACGCTCTAAAAAACACGTCTTGCAGATGTCAAATAGGCGTCTATCAGGGATGTCTTCAGTAGCTGTAGTTAACAATTACAACTCTTGCACAGGAAGACGGGAGAGGAAGTGTACGGCCTGACGGTTCCGCTCGTCACCACCTCGATGGGCGATAAACTGGGGAAGACGGCTGGCAACGCTGTGTGGCTGAACAGAGACAAAACCTCCCCCTTTGAATTCTACCAGTACTTCCTCCGCTTGCCAGATAACAGTGTGGAGCGGGGAGTTACGTTTCATACATAGAAATACTGAGAAATATTATTACAACTGTTCAATGTTTTAAAACGTCATTGAATTTTCAGCATCATTACTCCAGTCTTCAGTAGGGATATGCCGCGATGTTGTGATTAATTGCTAAGGCTTTTATCACGGTATACGGTATTATCACGATATTGAAATTTAGTTTAAAAAGTGCTGTCATAATACAGTATAACAGGTTTAATAACTTTTTTGGGGCAAACACTTTTTCACACAGGGCCATGTAGTTTTGGATTTTGTTTTCCCTTAATAATAAAAACCTTAATTTAAAAACTGCATGTTGTGTTTACTTGTGTTATCTTTGACTAATATTTAAATTTGTTTGATGATCTGAAACATTAAAGTGTGACAAACATGCAAATCAGGAAGGGGGCCAACACTTTTTCACACCACTGTATAATTATTCACGGTATTTAGAAGTGCCCACGGTAACAATACCGTGCATATTAATTACCGTGATATATCGCATTACCAAATACCGGCACAAGTCTAGTCTTCAGTGTCACATGATCTTCAGAAATCATTCTAATATGTTGATTAGCTGCTCAAGAAACATTTCTGATTATTATCATCAGTGTTGAAAACAGTTGTGCTGCTTCATATTTCTGTGTGCATTTTATTTTTCAGGGTTCTTTGATGAATGGAAGGTTTCAAAAGAACAGTGTTTATTTGAAATGGAAATCTTTGCAACATTATAAATGTCACTTTTGGTCAATTCAGTGCATCCTTGCTGAATAAAAGTATTCATTTCTTTTAAAATATGTATCTGAAAACTAGTGTATATGCTTAAAAATAATGCCTATTTAGCTTGACAGAAAGACGTTTCTCCCTCCAGCTACCTGAAGCTCTTCACCTTCCTGTCTCTGGCTGAGGTGGAGAAGGTGATGGAGCAGCAGAAGCAGGATCCGGGCAAACGCATCGCCCACAAACGCCTGGCCGCTGAAGTCACCAAGCTGGTCCACGGGAAAGAGGGCTTAGAAAGCGCCAAAAGGCAAGATACTCAGTTTCTGATTATCAAAAGTATTCATACCCTTAACTCAGTACTTAGTTGAAGCACCTTTGTCAGTGATTACAGCCTCAAGTCTATTTGGATATGAAGCGACAAGCTTTGCTCATCTGCATTTAGGGCCTAAAATGAACACTCGCCAATGCATTGTAATTACATCTGATATACAATCGCATACAATCTGATACACTGCACTGTGATCTCAGTGATTTCAGTGTCTCGTCTAGAGAACTCTATCTCTGCAAGTCACTTATAACATGCATTTGAAAATGCAACATGCGCAAACATCTTCCCGAGTTTGTAATGAAAATGTTTTTTTCAATCTGTTGTCAACAAAAGAGAGGTTTCCCTGCAGTTTTCCACCAAAATGAAAGCTTGATGGTTTAACGAAAGCAAAGAAAAAACAACCACAAATATTAGTGTTGTAATTGTAATGTTGTTATATACAATATTAACAACAACAATAATAATCATTAATATTTATTATTATTTTATATAAATATTATTTAAATAAATTAAAATTATTATTATTAAATACTTTACAGTTCGATAGTGTTATAGTATTTCCTTAATTGATTTATGTTTTATTTGATTAAATAATAGTAATAATAGTTATTATAATAAAAAAATAATAACAACAAAAATTGCAATTAGATGTGTTTCCCCAGTTAGTTCTGCTTGTTTTGTTTTTTTTATGAAATAATGCACATACAGTTTCATGGCCGGTAAAACAATATTTATGGCAGATAATTTTTCTCCTGTCACTATTATTACACATATTATTTTATTGTCATTTTGATAACAACAACAACAACATAAACAATAAATAATAATAATAAACTATTAATAATAATAAATTATTTCAATAAGATGTGTTTCCCGAATTGGTTCTTCCTGGGTTTATATATATATATATATATATATATATATATATGCACATAGGTTTTTTTGAGCCAGCAGAAAAATAATTTAGTCAACAGTGAGCGCATACATGCATGGCATGAAATGAAATTAAATGAAATGAAACGAAATAATGTGCATACATTTCATGGCTGGTAACAAATATTTGTGGTCAATAATTTTACTCACCAAGACTTGAGAAAATATTAAATATGATATCATATATGTATAATATTATTAATATATAATTCCCTAAAGAGAGATAAATTAAATAATAATAATAGTACATTATAATTAAATATAGATCTATCTATCCATCCATCCAGGTGCACCAATGCTCTGTACCACGGTAATATTCAGGCTCTGGAGCAGATGAGTGACACTGAACTCCAGGAGCTTTTCCAAGAGGCTCCGTTCCTTTTTTTTTTTCAATTTGTTACATTGTTACTTTTTATACAACACCTTAGTTACTTTGTATCACTCTCAGGTGACTTCCTGTTTGAAACTGGCTCAGTCCAGGTCTCAAACAATTAAGAAAAACAAATGAAGGGATGGTTTTTGATCCATATTATACATTTTTAAAATGCATTTCTGCCTTTTTTGCTTCATGTTATGTACTTGTTTCTTTATGATCAGGTATCAGATGATCAAGGACGGTGGCGTTCGGATCAACCACCAGAGGGCAGCAAACCCCGAGCAAGTTCTGGTTCTGGGTCAACACATCCTCTCTAATGGACTCAGCCTGATCAGAGTGGGAAAGAGGAACTTTTACATCCTAAAGTGGCTTAGTATGTGAATTGCCAACTGGGAAATACGCATCTTTGCTCCACAGACAAAGCGAGCACCATCCCAGAGCCTTCAGGATTTATAAAAGCATATAAAAAATGCATTTTTGTATGTGTGCCACTGCGGAAAATCCCAAAGCTCGCCAGCAGAGGTCTGTTTTGGTTCAGGACAGTAACCTGTGCTCTGTCTGCTTGAACTAATCAAAGACTTTGAAATGATATTGTGCTGCTGTGTTGAGAAACCCCATGGGGATGTCTGTGGATTATATCAAAGACGTGAGAACAGACTTTGCCTGTTTTATTCGGACAAATTACACGGTGTGATGTGTGAATACGATCTTGATTTTAAATCACACTGGAAAACTGGGTTCTGTGCAACTCTTTAATTAAGCATTTTATGTGAAATTTTACTGTTTTTTTGTCTTCTCCAGTTTGGCTTCTGAGGCGAAACTGACATGAGTGTGAAGCAATATGATGGTATACATGAATGAAATTAAATATGATTTGATTTATATAGTTAAAGTAAAGCATAGTTTAAAAACAGCAAATGTGCTGTACGATCAAGAAAATGAAATAAATACAAAATTAAACTATTTTAGAAAGGAAAAAAAAAGTTGCAACTTTTTATCTCACAATTTAGAGAAAAATAAGTCCGAATTATGTTATATGACCATTTAATTGCAGGATATGCATTTTTTCCTCACACTTTCAATTCTTTTTTCCCCACCACAGAATAAAAAAATAAAAATGTAATTGCAACCTTTTTCTCGCAATTCTGACTTTTTTTTTCTTTTTTTTTTAGAGAAAAAGTCAGAATTGCCGGCTATAAACTTTCAATTAGTTGCAAAAAGTTGCAATTACTTTTTTTTTTTATTCCATAGCAGAAACAAACAAACAAAAAAAAAAAATTGCATTTTCAAGAATTGTGAGATAAAAACTCAGAATTCTAGGAATTGCAAGGAAAAAAGAATTCAGAGTTTTTATCTTGCAGTTCTGTTTGAGGCTTCTGAAAGCGTTTGGTTTGTGGCACCCACATCAACTCGATTGCGTGGTCTGATCGGGGCTGTGCTGTTCCTGGAAAGGTTTTGGCAATCGCAGCTTCTCACTTCTAGGAACAAATTCAACTTATAGTTGATCTCGTTGTACTTCCACATTTTGTGATTTTAGTGTCTCAGATTCAAACATCATCTTCAGATACCAGAGACTAACACATTACGGGTAATGACATCAAACCATCTTAAATAAATCCATATCTTAGTTTCTATGATTCATGTGTTCCATCACAGGAAATGGTAGACTTGTGAATCTTTAAAAAAAGTTGTATTAATACCTTTTAGATTTAATCAGTTTTGAACAAAGAATTATTCTCATAGGAACAATATTGAAGAACCATCAATATTCAATTGTTAGGCCGTGACTACACTGATAATAAATCTCAGATTAAGTCTAGTCTTAAACTAGTTTGACAGTACATCTTAGTCAAGGAACTAGACTTCAAATCTGTTTAGTCATTGTTTTTTTGCATAGGTTTTTGAGAAGAAATGTGATTTCTTTCACAATATAAAAAAAAATCCTGATAAAGTTGTTATACAAGCTTTTAGTTTTTAGTTTCGGGTTCACTGTGAATTTTTAGCATTTGCACAAGATTCCATGGTTCTTGTTTTGACTGTAACAGAGCTTGACATTCAACGTCACGAAGCGTCCGATTGTGATTCGCCAACGAATCGCTCGTTTGAACTGAAATTTTAAACGATTCATTCAATCACTCGCCTTATAAAGTCATACGTAAATCAATAGTTCACACGCTTTTTGATGCCGCAAAAAAATCATTTCGTCAACATGTACAGTAAATACAACTGAAAACATTTTAAAGTAATTTATTCGAAAACGTAAGTGAAATGATTCAGCGGATCATTTAGTGAACCGATTCGAAAATGGTCCGTTCTAACGAGTCGACTCAGAACTCGCAGGCTCGTCGAGGGTGTTTGTTGATTTGCGTTCTCTCGGGCCGTGAGTGGGGGATGTGCGCGGAGAGAAGGCGGATCTCCAATCCGCACCAATCCGCGGCGTTCCTCCGGTCGTTTAAAGAGCCTCTTTGTGTCAATCACTCGTTTTTTCATCGCCATATTGGGCGCCGAAAAGCCTCGCCTTGTTATTTCTCTTCCCCTTATTTACTACGACGCGCAGTAGACAGGAGCGGCCACCGCGAACGCTGCTTTTGGTTTGATGCTCGTCGCCCGTCCGTGTTTTTCGCTCATGCGGCGCACCCGGGGCGAGTCTGCCTTTACGCCCGTCGCTTTGGATCGCGTTAACGCAGGAGGGAACGCTCAGTAACAGCTGTCGGGTTTGTGTTTTCGCACTTGAACGCCTTAAAATGTCCAACGTGCGCTTGTCTAACGGCAGCCCGACGCTGGAACGGATGGAGGCGCGACTGTCAAACCAGCCCAAGCCGTCGGCGTGTCGGAACCTGTTCGGTCCGGTGGATCATGAAGAGTTAAAGAAGGATTTCCAGCGGCAGCTGAAGGCGATGGAGGACGCGTCGGCGGACGCGTGGAACTTCGACTTCTCCACGCACACGCCGCACACCGACGGCAGATACCAGTGGGACGCGCTGGATATTCGCTCGGTGCCCGGTTTCTACAGCAGATCGGTGCGGGCGAAGGGCTCCGATCTTCACATGTGCTCCTCTGGGAATAATAGCGACAATAATGTGGATGTTAACGGCAATCACGACTGTCGCGTAACGGAGCAGAGCGCGGAGACGCCCGAAAAAGACCGAGAGCAGAGGAAAAGAACCTCCTGTCTCGGTACGTGCCGAATTATCTATTTAATCGACCATGCATTTCAGATAGAGAATCATGATTGCATTTTCCAGTTTATTGAAAAGTATCTATATAGCTGCTTAAAATCAATATCTAGTCATTTTAAGCCGTTTCACACTTGCATGCAATAGCATTTTGAATTATGCGTGTGAAGCCCGAATTTGATAATGCAATAAATAGATAGTGTTACGCATTATGCATTTTCATGCTTTTTTTCAAATAAAATAATGCAGTTGTATTTTCTTTGAAATCCTCTCAACTTTCTCTAAACGATTCACACTGGTAAACCGATGACATGTTTCTTTAAATAGCAGATTTTATTTGATTTTGAACCCGTGTGGGATGATAAATGCGTGCTTGTTTCAGACTCCTCGTGTCAAAGCAAACGCTCACACATCTGTGCGGATGAAGTGACACGGACGCCGAGAAAACCCAGAAAACACCCCAGCCCGACACGTACACAAACCCAGTGAGGTGAGCACAACTCTGTATCTTTTTGCACTTTAACACCCGAGTCATTTACGCAGAAGAAATGCAGTCTGCACATAAATGAGAATGAATACAAGAGAAAAGGAATCATGTTGCATTATTACCGATTTCACATTTATTTTACTGTTCTTCTGATATAGATGTAAAACTGCTGTTTTATTAAAAGTGCATTGTAAAAAGTTGATTGGGATACATTTTACAATAAAGTATACGTTTTTCTAATTATTAGTTAAAGTTACTAGTAATTTCTGTTTCTACTTCACATTTTATTTCAGTATGTAGGCTAATTGAAGAACCCTCTTAGAGTCGGTGAAAGGGTTAATATGGTGGGTTTACTACAAGAGCTGGAGTTTACTTCAGAGTGAAAAACATTCTACACTTCAGCATGTGTTCGCTCATTTTCTGCTGTATTTACACCTGAACAGCACGGCTCTCCTTTATTACACGTGCACATTTTGTAGAACTGTGTGGATTCACTCAGTGCATTGAAATGCAACACTGTGATAAAGTTGTATTGAAATGCATAAATCTGATGTAACTGCAGGTTATCATTACCTCAGTCATGTGAGGAAACGTCCTGCCAAATCAATACGTCAATGAGCAAATAGCAGCCAGTCATAATATTAGTAATGAGTGTTTTGCTTTGGTGGGACTTGAGACGTTTCATGATCTCATTTTCCAGTGTGTGTGTTTGTTCAGTTCATTCAGGTTTTTGTGGGTTGGTGTGTGGTGTGCTGAGACTCACATGCGTGCCGTCCTTATCTCTGCGTTAGAGTCGAGAGTTTTATTGCCATGATTGTTGATGTTTACAACATGGCACATAAAAGTATTAGTGTGCATAATGTCGAAAATAAATGAGGTGCATAATGACACGCAAATATGCATGCTTGTTTCTGCCATAGGATAAAAATAAAAACTTTTTATTTCACAATTTGGGATTTTTCTTGCAATTCTGAGCCAATATCTACTAATTCAGACTTTTTTTTTTCTCTTGCAATTCTGAGAAAAAAAGATTTTTTTCTCAGAATTGCAAGATATGAACTCAAATTCAAAGTCCGGATTGCGAGGTACCTTGCTTTCTTATTTAGTGTGTTGGAAACAATTGCGAGATATAAACTCTGAATTCAGAAAAAAATTCAGAATTGTGTGATTTTAAAAATTAGCAAGTACCTTTTTCGCCATTACCTATAATTTATTTCTTGTGTGTTGGGAAAAAAAAATTGCAAGATATAAACTCTGAATTCAGAGAAAAAAAAAATTTGTGTGCTTAAAGTCACTATTACCTTTATTTTTAAAATGCATTTGTCGGAAACGACAACAAAAAACAAATTTGAGCGAAAAAGTCAGAATTGCAAGATATAAACTTGCTATTCTGAGAAATCCGAATTGTTAAATAAAAACTTGCAACTGTGAGAACAAAAGTCAGAATTGTGTGATTTTAAAAATTAGCAAGTACCTTTTTCGCAATTACCTATAATTTATTTATTGTGTGTTGGAACCAACAAACAAAACAAAATGGGAAGATATAAACTCTGAATTCAGAGAAAACAACAATTTGAGTGATTAAAGTCGCAATAACCTTTATTTTATTTGTGTGTTGGAAACAAAAATCACAACTGAGATTAAAAATCAATTCGGAGGAAAAAAGTCAGAATTGTAAGATATGAGCTTATAATTTCAAAACACAAACTTTTCTTTTTGTAATTCTGAGAAGACTGTCAGAATTACGAGTCCAGAATTCTATTTGTCTGAATTTTGTCCTCAGAATTGTGAAAAAAAAAAAAAAAAGTTTGAATTGTGAAAAGAAAAGTCACAATTACCATGGCTTTCATACAAAAAAGGACAATCATACAAAAGAAAAAATCTACAGTGCAGTTGAAACGGGAGTTTATTGCTTTCATAATCTCTATTAAAAACAGCATTTAATACCACTGCATGTGTATTTTCATTCTGTTGCAGAAGCGTGTCTAATTCTCTCGTATTTCCGGACAGGGCTGAAGTTGATTGCTGTGGGTTTGATGACCTCAGTGCTTGCTGAACGAAAGATTTTTTTGGGGGGGAGAAACGGACGAGCGGATGGAGGAACGAGTGGAAAATAAAACATATCAACTCTAAGAGTGTGTTCAAGCACTGAAACAAACACTAAAGTTCTGGCACTCAAGAAAATAGCAGCTGCCTCGTAAAGCAGTGTATGTAGCAGTGTGCAATTAGGTTGCATTTCCTTTTTTGCTCATTTTTCGTTTTTCTTTCTACCTGTGTATATAAATATATATTTGTTCCTTTTCATATGTAGCACATAATTAGTATTATGTTGGAAAAATTCTATTTTTTTTTTTTGGAGGTGTGAGTTTGGTTTGATTTGAAGAGTTGCCGTGTGTAGATTATTTCTGAAATGCTGTTCATGTTTATTTCACGTTTTGAAGGTCTGTTTTATATTGGCTGTGTAAAACAATTTTTTTTTTTCAGATGAGGTACACAAAATAGCAGTTCTTAGAATGGATCCGAACATCTCAGCCTGTTTTTTTTTTGAAGGTGATGTAAAAGTTCAAACTCTGAGGTCAAACCTTGTAGCATCGACCAGTATTACCAGTATCAGGCACTTCCACGTCTCTCACCCTCTTAAATTATTTCTTTGCAAGATGTTTCTTGATCATCTGTAATTTGCGTGAGGTTTTCTACTGATATTTTTTGTTTCACTTTTGTTTGACTCAATCACCCTTGATTTTGCCTTATTTTCTTTGCATAAAGCTCCAGCAACCATGTGCATCTAAAACACTCGACGAACAGATTCTGTGGTGAAACCTGATGCATAATTGTATTTATAAAGTAAATATTAATATTTGAACGATCTACACTGCCTGTGTATTTGTGTAAACTTTGAAATGTACCTGTGTACATAACTTTGTAAAAACACTGAGAAAATTAAAACTAACTTATTTGTCAAGCATTTTTTTTTTTTTGGAAATTAAAAATGGGTTTTTGGTCAAGGTTTGAGTCGTTATCTTTGTAAAAATATATTTTTTTTTTTGTAGTTTCTTTTATCTGATTTTTAAAAATATTATTTTAACAATTTGTAAAAGGTTGCAAACTGAGCCTGATTAAAATATTTGATAAGTGCTTTTTTTGTCATGTGTGGTTATACAATGTGCTGCAATCAATTAAAAGAGAATTAAATTATTTCAACCCATATCTGTCTTATTTGAACATTATGTAATATATTGTCAGTTCAAACCTTCAAATATGCAACCTGTGCAAGACATTAAAACTTTCTTGATTCCTGCAATAAATGCACTTTTAAATATTTTAAACTCATTTAGCAATTTTTTAAATGTGATTAAAAGGCCAAATGGACATTTGTATCCCAATTCTTGGGCAAACTAAAATGCTTTTAAAAATATATCTTTAATATTTTAAAATATATTTATATCTGCAAAAAAATGGCAAAATATACTGATAGAAATATATTTAAATAAATATATTTTTTGGTATTTTGAAATTTTTTAAAAGTGATTAAAATGCCAAACTGGCATCTGCATCCAAATGCTAAGAAAAAACAATTATATATATGAAATATAATATATATAATATATATGAAAAATATATATATATATATATTTTTTTAAATATATATACAAAAATGTCCAAAAGTATATTGGTATAAATATATATTTACATAAATGTATTTTTTTTATATTTTAGAAAATTGATATAATATAAAAAAATATATTTTTGGGGGTCATTTGTGTATATTTTGAAATATATAAAAAAATATATCTGAAAAAAATATTTGTAATGCTAAAATGTTTCATATAAAACGTTCCTCACACCATCATTTAGCAATTTTTGAGTGATTAAAAGGCCAAACCAGCATCGACATCCTCAGTTGAAAAACAAAAACAAATGAAATGCACATAAATGAAATCAAATGTTTTATTTGAACATTATACAATAAATTCTGTCAATTCAAACCTTCAAAAATGCAACCTGTGCAAGACATTTAAACATTCCCGATCCCTGCAATAAATGCACGTTTAAAGCTATAGTTAAGAAAACAAACATGATGTAATTTTTTCGAGCTGTTAAACATGCACTAAATGTTACTTGCCTTCCATAACACTACAGTAAAAAATGTACTGTATATATTTTTAGTCATTCCAGTGACTAAAACGATTTTTGGATTATGCAAGAAAACAATGTGAAAACTGACTTCACATCCTTGCAGTCGTGTCCCGTCTGAATGACGCACACATGCCAGCGGTTAGTCACAGCGGTGACTCAAACACAAACTGACAGAGGGTGTGGTGATCCAGCACAGGTGCTAGTTTGTCATCCCACTTGTTTGTACAGCATTAACCCGCAAACGTCTCATTTTTGACTTCATCTCACTACAAATGCTTTATGCTTGCTGTCACGTATATAGGAAATACAGAAAAGGACTTGCTCACCCAAAAATGAGCATTTGCTGAAAATTTACTTTAAAAATTTACAAATGTATTGGTTTGATTAGTTGAAGAAATGGAGAAATGTAGCATTGCATCACCTGCTCACCAATGGATGTGAATGGGTGCCGTCAGAATGCGAGTCTTTACAAACACGCAGCTTTTCACTTCTAAAGACATTAACTGCTGGACTGGAGTGGTGTGGATTACTTGTGGATTATTGTGATGTTTTTATCA